TGCAATCAAGCTTGGAGTAGTTTACATTTCTTCTGTGCTCTTGTGTTGTTGTTGTTAAAGCTGAAATATTCATTAACTGGTAAGACATTGTAACATATGATTTTATGTACTATGCTTAAGTCTAATCTTAGACACGTAGTTCAAGGTTATCTAAGCCTAGAATCTCAGGTCTGATGATGTAGAGTATTCTGTTGCGAACAGAGGAATGTAGTATTCTTCTGGTAAAATACTTCTGTACTCGCTCAATTGTATTTATGTCTGATATCCAGTGCGGATTCCAGACAGCAGAGCTGAATTCAAGTATTGGTCTAGCAAATGTTTTGAATGCCCTAGTTTGCAAATCAGTATTACCAGAGGAGAAGCTTCGTAAAATGAAATTTACAACTTTTAAAGCCTTTTTGGCAATACTGTTGCAGTGAGCTTTGGCGCTTAGATCATTTGATATCAGAACTCCAAGGTCCTTGACAAAGTGAGGGTTATCAACAAGGTCATGTCCACCTAGCGAACAGAGTGTGCCAATCAAGAGATGATAAGTCGGCAGCTATGAGTTCATAATTGGCTTTTTTAAAATTATATTTTGGAGATCCATCATTGTAATCCTCTTTGAGGGGGTGTAAATTTAGACAAAAGTCAATCATGCTATGGTCACTGTTTGATATAGGTTCCTGTATTTGTAGGCCATAAATTGAGTTTGAGCTGTTGCGGAAGATGAGGTCGAGACAGTAGTTTAATCTAGTGTTATATACTAATTGATCCAGTCCCAGTGTAGTAACGGCATTGTACAGGGTTGTATGAATGGGTTCAGATGTACATTCATTTAGTGTCCAATTTATAAGAGGTAAGTTGAGGTCACCAAGAAAAATAAGAGGGTGTGGGCAAGAGGCAGCCCATGTCAGTAGTGAAGTTAGCATACTTATTCAAAACATACTTATTCAAAATGTGAAAAGTGTGTTAACAGTTACTTTTCTCTATTGTAAAAGGTACACAGGAAAAGAAAATGTGGGTAAGGATCAGTTGTGATATACAGCATGAACTTGGAAAGAGCTGAAGTTCACCTGGAGTTCCTTTATTTGTCACACCAACTCAGCCTATCCCAATCCGTGTCCTTCCAAATATGTCATATTAGAAGCCTCACTGATGGGTGGATTATGTGCCATCAAAAGGTACATCTCATCAGTTCCTAATTGAGTTCATCCATTATGCTGAAGAAGTCCCGTAATCTTTGCCAAATATAGCTAAACCTCATAGACTGGGAACTTTGGGAAATGAACATATTTGATCAGTTTGGAAAATCTAAAGTCTAAACTACATTGAAAAATGTTTACTTTAGGTCACACTGACAGTGCTAGATCAAATAGAAAAATTACTTCTATTTCATTCATACCGAGTAGTTCAGAAAATATGTTAAGAAACCCTGTACAATCTAGAGTTTAGTAACTACATATTTACCAATTAATTGTGATTCATTAATTGTTTAGAATTTGAAAGTTTCTATTGAAGATACAACTTCTGATTCAAATCTCGTGTTATTTTAGCATTTGGAGTCACAGATGGTTGGTCTAAAAAAAACTAGATGAAGAATTTGCTAAGAACTAAATGCCTTCGGAATTTTTATCATGCTTATTTTATTAATTTATACAATTTATATAATGCCCATCTTGCTTACAATATTCTTTTCCCCTTTGCTAAAAGAATTTCTCAGAACTTTGCAGTGTTGATACTAGGCATTTGTGGGCTGCACTGTATAGAAATAAAATTAATTTTATTTCAAGGGGTTGGCCATCTTACAGTTTAAGGGCAATTTTCCACCATGTACATTATAATGGAGTCCACATTCTGCAACTTCTGTACATAGACAATTAACAGCCTTAATTCTTTGCTTTATGAATAATCTACCATGTGATGTCAAGACTGGAGAAAATTGCCTGAATATAACTTAGTTATTTTAGTATATATTTTGCATTCTTGCCACATAAAGCAATATGTCTGTAAAATTTTCTATCAGCTTTCTAATAATATATTCCAAAACTGGAATTGTTCAGTTCTTTCCATGGCAACTAAGAGAAAGATTGCTGGCTTATATTTTTTTTAATCAAGAAGATAGAGGAATAAAAATAATCATGTCTTCTGAGAATCTCTGTGTTGCTATTTGGCATAACCTCTTTCCATAGTGATACCCTCGTGGGCACTGTTTTATTTCTGTTTACTAAGAGCTGGAGCACTGTAGAGTGAAGGGAGTTTCCTACTTTCCTACAGACAAAGTGAAATTCATTTTCTCTCAGGTCAAGGATAGGGGAGAAGAGATTAATTCCCCTATTTACAAGATGAAACCTCTTAGTTTTATTTGGGAATTTAATGTGAGACTGTTCTAGATCTCTTTGAAGGGAATCATTGGGATCTAGTAGAGAGGCCCAAAATCTGCCAGGCTTCAATAATGCGGTTTCTAAAACCTAGATAATCTCATGAAAGGAACAACAGCACTCATCCGAGACAGAAAACATCAATACTGAGATGCAAGAGAATGAAATAGAAAGTGACATGATTCATTCTAGTTTAGAGGTGAGGATTTTATATTGTTCTTCTCTTAGGAACCAGAGATCGTATAATTGATGACATCATGACTGAGCAGAGGCAACATGTTGGACCTGTTTTTTTGTTTTAAAGGGGTTGGGGTTGGGGATAAAGGGGCAAAACCTTGGATGAAATTTAGCCTGAAAAGCTGGTTTTAAGGGTGAAATAACAAAGTTCCAAGCCACCTTAGAGAAAGTGGGTAAGTGGAGTACCAAGCTTGGGACGTCCTATCATGAGTTACTTCAAGCAACAGGAGTGGGTCAATTATGAATGGCAATGTTTCCTAGTAGTATAAGCTGTCTCATACTTAGATAATTGATGCCTGCTGAGAACTTTTTAAACTAAATTTCAGGGATTTCAATGAGAATTTTCTGCATACAAAATGCTGTATATGGTCTTCCACTAGACTGTAGACTTCAGTAGTGGTCTGCAAATTTATGGGTCAGAAGCTGGTATTTCTGAGATTCATATGCAAATAAGCATATACAAATAATATGCAAATCTGTTTCCTCTTTTAGGTGACACATTTTGGGGGGGAAAGAGTAGTGTATAATTGAAATCTAAACACAATACAACTCAGATATTCTTTTCAAAAGCTACAAATGTATAGGTCTGGAGGGTAAATAAGGAGTCTGGAGACTAAAATATATGATGAATGGCTAACTCAATATGTTTAGCCTAACGAAGAGAAAAATGTTACTTCTAAATAAGTTTAAATTAGAAATAGATAGCGTGCAACTTTTTTAGTGTTTGTTAAGGTGTCCTTCTATGCAATGTGTGTAACCCTAAGCCAGATACCTCTTGTTCTAATAACATTGTTGTCCAGTTATGAATCATTGATCAAAAGAAAAAGAAAGAATCAAGTCACACTGAAACAAGGAAGACTGCACAGTCTGAGAAGAGCTCTTCCTTATTTTGGCACCCCTAAAACCCAAGGCAATATCCCAGTCCTGCATTTTAGAAAGTTAAAATTGCGAATGACTCTGTTCCAACTTCCACAGCTTCAAGAGTCATGTGTGAACTTCAGGTGGTCTGACCATTGGAATTGTTGGAACCTAACTGCCAGGGCATTTGAATGGGATGCCACACAGAGAAACAGGTGCAAGTCTTCCACTCTCTATGTCTGAAGTGGGATCAACAGGGCTAAGTGGATGAGACAGGTGGTTCTGCCCTGAAGCCAGCACAAGGCCTAATTTGAGGCCTGGCTGGCTTTCCTCCTTTGGTTGCCATGGCACTCCCTTTATTCTATAGGTGGGGTTCTGGAAAGAGCAGGGCCTCAGACTGACACCAGATCCTATAGTAGTCAGGTCATCAGGTAAGGGTAGAAACTAAACCAGGAACAGATGGTACACGTTGACAAGGGGCACTACAAAGCAGAGGCTGGAAGAATAATACGCCCTGCTAGAGAAAATAGCCAGGAGAATTTTAGAATGAAATGTCCGTTTTATTCTATATCTGTGTCACCGTTACTGTATTTGCCAACAGCAGCAATCTGGGAACACACTGGTTTTTGTATATTTGTTTGGTCCCTACTTTTGCTGCAGGGGAATCTCAGAAAAAATATCTTGATGTGGGTTGTTGCAATAATTCTCTATGTTTAAACCTCTCTTGAGTTCATGAATTAAATCTACAGTTGGGAGAGGATCTCTTCTTAAACCCCTATGGACAGTAAGGTGGAATGCATTGTGCGTGTCCTGCCCTTTAATACATTTTGTTGCTGCAATTTGTTTTGAATTACTAATGCTCTCCTAAATGATTGTCTTTTATTTACAAGATAGATGACTAGTAAAAGAAAAGTAGCTTAGTTTTATAAAGAAGGCAAACTAGTATAGAAAAACTCACACATACACAGAGAAACCTAACTCCACACATGACAATTTTAAACTTGCTTTTGAAAAAGGGTGTTTAAAACAATGACTTAAATTTTTGAGGGCAAAGCAGAAGAAACCGTTTATTTCTCGGTGTGTGTGTGTGTGTTAAAGAGTCTTTTAGCATCACCCAGCCATTGTTAAAGTGATATAAAAACTGTTTATTATTGTTACAGTGGCACAAAAATGTGGGTAATTCAAGAAGATATTATTAACTGGGTTCCTGCTAGGGTGAATATAGTAGTAAAGTCACAACTATTTTACTCAGTCTCAGGAGTAGAGCAGCTATGACTATTTCCTTAGATGGGTAATTATTTTTAGTTGTGTTCTTGGGGGGAAAATGAAGATAGATTTCAAAGTCCAATGATTTGGTTGCCTATACTATGGTCTAGCAAATGGATCTAACCATGCTGAACTGTAATATATTATGGATCCTGTCTATTACAATGGATGTAACTGCTTTGACCAAAATAACTGTTATTTTTAAGTTGATATAAATTTTTACCATTCCCATTCACTGCAGTAAATCCAAGAACTGAGCTGACCAAGTTAACATTTAGAATGTCTGAAAACAGAAAGGGAACCTGTCTCAAACAATGTCAGAAGTGCGATGTTGACATGAATGGAGACATGTTAGATACACAAGGTGTTTGTCTTCACTGCAAAACTGAGACAAAAGAAGAGCATCAAAATAATCAGAAAAGCAAAAGGTAAGGTAGAGTAAAAGAATAGGCTCGGATTATCTTACAGAACTCATCACACGAAGAAAGGTGATAGCTAGTGATCAGTTAGAAAGCCTTTGAAATAAACAAACAATAAACAAAGAAATCCATGGACAGATTGCCTTTCAATAGTTGTTGGCCACATTGAGACAAATATTAATATTCAAAGGCATTATAACTCTAAATCAGGTGTGGACAACCATCAATTGCATGCAATCCCAAAGTTCTATTTTTGCTATTCCTGGAAGTCACTAAATAATTATCACACTTTGATTTTGAGAGGAAATTGAGTAAAGTAGATGTTTTTGCAATTTTTTTTCTTTTTCCTTCAGCAAGGGATTTAGTAAGTCTTTCATTCATCTATCAAAGTAGTATGATCAGCATATGAAGTTGTTGCTTAGCAATTTTAATTTCAGTTTCTATTTCTTTATATCTAGTATTTCTCATAATCCATTCTACATATTAATTAATGTTGCCAGTATACTATATAGTCATGGCACATTCTTTTCCCAACTTTGATCCACTAAATTGCTCCATATGCATTTCTAGTTATTGCTTTCTGATCATCATTCAGAATCTTTAATAAGCAGATGTGATGGTTTGATACAACAACATTTTAAGAACTATCCTGATACTCTGCCAAAGGGCCCAAAATTTCCATCCCCATCCCTACATTATGTTATTATTCCAATTCTTATTGTCTTTGGTAGATGGGTAAAAATATAGTCCCTGTCAACTAAAATTTGCTTTTATCCTGTTATACAGTATACTGTCTGTAAATACAAGCAGGGTTGTTTTTTGTTTTTGTTTTTTTGGTGGGGGGAATAATTATTTTCCAGCCCTGTATATTTCTTGAGAACTTTTGGAATGATTAGTTGTTGACATACAATGCTGGATTCAAAGCCTCTTCTGTCTCATCCAGGAGTGGTCTTATTTAAGGACATCAGGAGTCTTGATAAATGAGGCTTAAACGTTGATTTGAGAAGTCAGGGTTCAGGATGGAAAATTATCTATGATTTCTTTGTTGATCAGCACCTAGTGCAAATGATATGCTTTTTGCAAGCATTTGCATTAATATTGACAAAACAAGGAGGAGGAGAAGGATAAGTTGATATTATTATTATTATTATTATTATTATTATTATTATTATTATTATTATTATTATTATTATTATTATTATTATTATTTTGGAGAACTCATTTCATATTGCAAACTGATTGATATAAGGTGGCTTTCCTGTAAGATTTTCATATGATGATTTTCATTTTATTGTTAAATTGAGCTAAAATAACTGTAAAATTAATCAGATCTTAATTATTTAGTTGCCTATTTTTTCAGATACCTTCTGAGAATCTTGCTTTGCTGAAAAGTTAGATTCAACAATTTATAGTCATTTTCTGGACCTGCCTTCTTTATATCAATTTGTTATCATCTCAAGCCTCAGGGAAAAAGTATGTAACCACATGGGAAAATCTGTAGATTTTCTTCCTTCTCTGCTTCTGACATTATCAAGTCCTATATAATTCAGTATTTCTGTTTAAAAATGAAAATATTACCATTTCATATGGTAATCTATTTTCAAAACAGTTCCATGCAATTCAACCAGCTCATTTATTCTGATTCAAGAGTAATCAAAACTGTTTTATTAAACATTGAGATTGAGTCAACACTCCACATATGTTATAGTATTGGCTGTAAGGGGTGGGAAGGAAACGGTAATCCAAGTCTGCCCTCTGCTGGCCAAACATGCACCGAATCTAACATGTAAAAACTTACAATCACAATTTTAAAATCTAAACCAAGATTTCAAAATTGAGACCAACAGTTGTCTGCCTTAAAGAGTTAATATTTAAGAAGTAACAAAGTTTCTTCTTTGTTTATCCATTTGATAAAAATGCTGTTCCCAACAATAGTCTACCAAAAAAAATGCATTAATCTTTAAGATGCCGTTAGTTTCTTGTTTTTCAAGTGGCACATTGTCACGTGAACTAGTATCACATATTTTAATATTTTTTAAAACTAATGATATTTAACTCTTAATATAATTGATATCAAGATAAAGGTACATTAACTTTTTTTTTAAGCAAATTTTATTAATTTCAAAGACAAACAAATCATCATCAACCATTACATATTTGAACCTTTTTCCATTATAAATTTTACAAGTCAGATAAAACCTTATTTTATACAATACAATTCTATTTTAAGCCATTTCCATATGAGCATAAAAATACCTCTTATCCAATTTCTCTTTACTTCTCTTTACTCTTATTCAATTTTGCTATTATTATTTCATCTATTTCTTTCTGACTTGGTTACCATTATTCTCATTCTGTATTTCTACAAGGTTTTATTAATACTCTCAAATACATAAACACACAACAAAAAAACATATAAAAAATCTTTTAGGAAAGTAACTTGGCCCCAGGTACCTCTCTTTATATGGGCTTCAATTATATTCATGCTCATCTTACATATCATTACCTATTTTATTTACCATTCTATATCTTCTATATAAACTTCTCCACACATTTCACTCTTCATAATTCTATCTTATTTAATCCATCTTAATTTAAATCATTATATTTGTATCTTTTGCCCATTCTTTATTATCCCTCTATCTCATTCCTTATAATGAAAAAAAAAAAAAAAGAATTTCTCCTGAAATCACTAATCAGAGTATGATGCCTTTCTATCCTCCCCTAAATTAATTAGATTAACATTTAAAATAACACCTAATACCCAATCTGATTCTGCTTGGTACATTCTATCTACTAATTTTTTTTTTTTAATAATAATAAAAACGGAGTAATAAATCCAAAATGATTAAATACATAGATAAATAATAAATCTAAATATTAAATTATAACATTTCCATTGCCTTTTCAAAAAACAAATGCTACTATAATAGTTTTATAATAACATCAATACCATAGTCATATTAAACTCTTTAATTAAAACTCAATATTCTAAACATTCCCTTTAATATTTTATTAAATTTTAAAATCAATCATTATTAAACATTTCAACATTTTAATTTCTTATTAACTCTTAAACCATTCTAATTTTCTATTTCTAATACAGATGTTACAATACCATCTTAAAGGTACATTAACTTTTTAATACTGCATTTATAGCACCTCGAGAAGAAAGTGGGATGAGGCTTATCAATTTCATGAACCTGTTTCTCTTCTTTGCAATTATTGATTTAAAAATGTGAACAAGAACAGTAATATAGCAGTTCAAAATATGAATCAACTAAGAGTGCACATGAATATTAAGCTTGCAAGTATTCTATGATAATTTCTGAGAGTACAAGGAAAGTATGTTAACCTTATCTATTGTAATTTTTAAAAAGTTAAATGCAATTGTATGCAATAAACTTTTGAATCTATGGTTTTGTACTTTTTATCCTATTCCATTTTGAGTTCAGTGAATCATTTACATTCCTTATTTTGAGCTTTGTAACTTCTGTTCATCCAAAATGCAAATATTTTCCTTCGGTCTGCAGATTCATTATTTTTGTGATTTGTCGATATGAATCATTTAATCTCCAAAATATTTCTTTGCATTCCTGCCTTATTCACTTCCTTTTGATGCCTAACTGGAATTTCCTTTTCCTGAACTATTTAATTGTCTTCTTTGCCAAGATGATCATTCATATTGTACTGTCTCCCAAGGGAGAAAAAATGTGAAAGCCTTTGAATTCTATAATCTGTGAGCAACCTATTTGAATTATTTTAGAGATTTCTAAGATACTCAGGCTTATATTTGAGATGTTGCTTTTTATATCAGTGGTGGTGGTCAAGCAGAAAACGTAGAGTTTGAGGAAATTTCTGCCAAAAGTCTAAATAGTTAGCCCCTATCATAAATATCTCATACTTGCCACAGTTGCCTAACACACACACTTACTCTCTCTCCCTCTCTCATTCCACCTTTAGAAATAGCATAAATGAGTAAAAACAGGATATTAATTACTATAAACTGCTTTTCAGCTTATATTTATGGATGTATTTTTCTTCTGTGCATATGTTAAAAATGGAGTTTGTTTGGATCTGAATGGCTGTTTGAATTAATTTATGTTCTGCTTTAGAAATAATAATTCTTCACTGTCTGCCTCCATGGATAGTTTCCCCAGAAACTTAAAACAACACAGCTAGGGGAATTATATTTTATTGCAACTTGCTTCTAGTAGTTGTTAACCTCTGATTACTGACTAAGCTGTCATTTTATATGATAGTATAACACTTTGGGCTCAGTCTTGGTGACCTTCCTTTTCAGCTTTTCCAGGGGTTAAATAGAAATCTTGCTTAATATTTTCCACAGTGCATTGTAAGAGGCAGTATATTAACATTTTCTACTACTATTTTGAGAAAGGGCATTGGTACTAATCTGATACGCCCGTTCTCTTTGAGCTGTGAAGAGCATCCAGTAGTGGGAGGTGCTTCAGTCTCTGCATGTCAGGGCTGGGCTTAATTTCTGGAATGCTCCTCCTCCTCCCCAGCGTTCTCCAGTTTTGGCAAAGATGAGAGAATAAATACCACTCTCCCTGAATGCCTTAAAAATTCGTTGGCTGAAATGGGACCCCACCAGACGGAAAAAGGGGTGGGGCTGGATGCTCTTCACAGCTCAAAGAGAATGGGCGTATCAGGTAAGTACCAACGCCCTTTCTCCTATGAGCTGTTCAGAGCATCCAGTAGTGGGACATACCAAAGCTTGGCCTGTTCTATGGGAAGGACTCCGTCTGGCTTGGAATTCCCTCCTAGTCCCCGTGGACCCGTTGCAGAACTCGTCTGCCAAAGGAGGCCTCAGCGGATGCAAACACATCTATTTTATAATGCCTAATGAAGGGCGATGGAGAGGCCCAGGTTGCAGCTTGACAAATATCAGTTATTGGTGCCTGCATGGCCCATGCTGTCGATGTTGCTGCGCTCCTTGTTGAATGAGCTGTTATGCCCCTGGGCACCTGTAGTGATTGAGTCTGATACGTTTTCGCTATCACAGCCCGTAGCCAACGACTACTGTAGAAGAAGAGACCTTGCATCCCTGAGTGTTTGGCTGAAACGACACAAATAAAGCTTCCGAAATATGATGAGCAGAAGTGATCGCTACAAGGAAAACTACTTTGTATGTCAGAAATTGGAGACTTGATGATTTCAAGGGTTTGAAAGGGTACTTAGTGAGTGCAACGAGGACCTTGTTAAGGTCCCAAGTGGGATAACGGTGAACCGCTGGCGGGTGTAAATTTGTGGCTCCTCGAAGGAAGCTCCGTATGCGTGGGTGATGAGAAAGAGACAGTAGACCCTCAGAAGTGACAACCGATGCCAAAGCTGCCACCTGCCTTTTCAACGTATTAAGTGATAATCCCTTGTCAAGCCCCTCTTATAGAAACTCTAGAATTTGAGCCACTGATGGGATCAGTTTGAGACTTAGTACACCACTTGCAGAAACTAGACCACGTGGCATTGTAGATGTGAGTCGTTGAGGGGTGTCTGGCAGCTTGGATGGTGGCGATAACTCTGTCGGAAAACTTTTCGCTCTTCAGATGTCTCTGCTCAACCTCCAGATGGTCAGGTGCAACCATTGAGGGTCTGGATGTTGAAGGGGTCCCTGGATTAGCAAAACCCTGTCCAAGGAAATTCTCCATGGTGTTGATAAGGATAGACTGCAGAGGTCTGCAAACCATGGCTGTCTGGGCCAGTAAGGAGCTATTAGCAGAAGCTCCGCCCTCTCATCCAGCAGCTTCTGGATGTCCTTGGGGATCAGAAGAAGTGGTGGGCCAACCACTTGGAGCCAACAACAGCGGAGCGTGTTGAAGTTCTTCGCTCTTTGCGAGGGGTACCTGGAAATGAATCTGGGGAGCTGAGAGTTGAGAGGGGGAAGCGAATAAGTCTACCACCGGCTGCCCGAATCTCCTGACCGCCTCTTGAACCAGGGTCGGATGGAGGTGCCACTCCGATTGATCGATCGTGGCCCTGCTTAGCCAGTCTGCCTGTGTATTCGACAGGCCCGTTTTCAAACCTGCTAGTAAAGAAATGAATTTTCCTGTTTTGGCCAAGGACGAATTACAAGCATTGCCTATCCCTCACGAGGCTGAGCCAAAACTGGGGAATGCTGGGGAGGAGTCCCGTGGAGGAGGAGGAGCATTCCAGAAATTAAGCCCAGCTTAGACATGCAGAGACTGAAGCACCTCCTACTACTGGATGCTCTGAACAGCTCATAGGAGAAACTATAGTTCCTAACACATTTTCCTTCACTGAAAGCCAGTACATAAATTTGTGGTTGTAAAAGAGAAGGCATTGTAATAGTAGCTGTTTCTAATTATCCTTCATAACATCTGAAGAAACCAACAAACCATTTCACAGTACTTGTACTTGCCTCAGTATAGAATGCAAATATTTGGCAGGTTGATCTTAATTTAATTGAGTCCTAAGACAGTTGCAAAATATTTTAATATTTCAGTTCTACATGATAAATTTTAATTTTGGAAATTTACTGGCATGATAGGATGCTGTCACTCAAAATGATCTAACACAGTATCATCTTGGTAAGGCGATAAACAAGTAATAACATAGCATAAGGAACAGTGGTGGGATTCAATTTTTTTTACTACCGGTTCTGTGGGCATGGCTTGGTGGGCGTGGCAGGGGAAGGATACAGTAAAATCTCTAGTCAGAGGTGGTATTTGCCGGTTCTCCGAACTACTCAAAATTTCCGCTACCAGTTCTCCAGAACTGGTCAGAACCTGCTGAATACCACCTCTAATAAGGAAAAAGATAGGAATGTAGGATTAATCCTGACCATAGCCAAACATTGTATCCTTTTTCCTCCCAGCAACATTCCTGCCTCCCAAGATTTACTGTATATTCCATTTTGTATCAGTCATATCTTGTGACTACCTAGGTATCTTTATGTGATTAATATATTTTAATAAGAAGATATCCTATGCCCATTAACATCTTATTATTCTACTACACGTGTGCTACCTAGGGATCCTGTCACATACAATGTTGGTGAGATGATGGAGACTGAGCCTGCATATGCTGACTTCATCAGCTCTGATCGGACTGGTCGGAGAAATGCAATTCATGGCCTTCCAGGAGATGCAGCTGCCATTAAGTTGGAGAAACCAGCAAACACCATGGATATTTCTGTTGCAGATGAAGGTGAACTCTTCTTTGTTCATTCAGAGCTTTTCAAGGAGGAGTACCATTCAGGAAGCTCAGATGTAAATGTTATAATTCATATTGTGTTTGTTTGAATGTTTATGCAAACTGTATATTATGCAATATCATATTTGCCGGCATGTCATTATCATGACTATCAGGAGGTTTCTAAATCAATCATTCAAATTCAAAGGATCATGCCACCTGTCCTACCTTTATATAAAGGGCCTATTATATTTTTTGTCACTTGTGGAAGATTCTATTCCTCTGTGGTTTCTTTTGTGAGTATGCCTTTTGTCAAATTCTGAGTAATATCTTATTCTTCCTTGTGATGATAATCTACTGGTTTTTATTTTGTTGGATTTTTTTTCTGTACTCAATATGTAAATCTTTTAAAACTAAGCAGTCTAATTCACATATCTTCTATGTTTTCCCATGATCCTGCACCAGGCAGCAATTGAGTATCCAATCTCCACACTTCTCTCTTTTTTGTAGATAAAAGTCCTATAGTGAATTAGCCAGTTTGGAATAACGTACTTTATTTAATTTAATTTATTTATTTGATTTGTCAATTGCTTACAAAATAATAGGTATAAGTATATACATAGTTATGAATACATGAAATGGGTACATATAAGAAAAAAATAAAAGAAACAATAGGACAGAGACAGTAGGCATGTTGGTGCGCTTATGCACGCCCCCTACAGACCTCTTAGGAAAGGGGTGAGGTCAATAGTAGGCAGTCTAAGGTTAAAGTTTTTGGGGTTTGGGGAAGAAACTACAGAGTCAGGTAGAGTATTCCAGACATTGACCACTCTGTTGCTGAAGTTGTATTTCCTGCAATAAAGTTTGGTGCGGTTAACCTTGAGTTTGTATCTATTGTGTGCTCTTGTGTTGTTATGGTTGAAGCTGAAGTACTCATTGACAGGTAGGACATTGCAATGTATGATTTTATATACCATATTTAGATCAGACCGAAGACGGCATAATTCAAAGTTTTCTAGGTCTAGAATTTCAAGTCTGGTGGCATAAGGTATTCTACAACGAGTAGAGGAGTGGAGAACTCTTCTTGTGAAATATTTCTGGACTTTCTCAACTGTGCTAATATCAGATACATAATGTGGGTTCCAGAATGATGAGCTGTATTCGAGTATTGGTCTAGCAAATGTTTTGTATGCTCTAGTTAGTAGTGTGATATTACCAGAGAAAAAGCTACGTAGGATTAGGTTAACAACTCTTAATGCCTTTTTGGCTATGTAGTTACAGTGGGCTCTAGCACTTAGATCATTAGAGATGAGTATTCCAAGGTCCTTTACAGAGCTTGGATCATCAACAAGATCTTGACTATTCAGCTTGTATTTTATTTTCTGATTTTTTTTGCCAATATGTAAGCCAGAGCATTTATTTGTTGAGATTTGAAGTTGCCATTTGTTTGACCATTCTGATACATAGTCAAGATCTTTTTGAAGGGTAGCAGTCTTGTCTGTGATATTGAACAGCTTTACATCATCAGCGAAAAGAACGCAGTTGCTCTTAATATGATCACAGAGGTCATTTATGTAGAGTATGAAGACAGTTGGTCCTAGAACACTGCCTTGGGGGACACCACTATTGATAGGTACAGAATTTGATAGGACACTCCCAATTTTGACCATTTGCTGTCTGTTTTACATGCTTCTATCCAGTTATGCAGTTGTCCAGAGATACCATAAGATTTTAGTTTTAGGAGTAGTTTGTCGTGTACCACTGAATCAAAGGCTTTACAGAAGTCTATGTAGATTGTGTCTATTGCTTTGCCCTGATCAAGTTGTGTAGTCCTTATGTTTTTGTAGTATAAGAGTTGCAGATTACAGGACAGTTTTTTCCTGAAACCAAATTGTTTATTGGAGAGTAGGTTGTTTGTCTCTAAGTGGAGGATAATGGATTGGTTAATAATTGATTCCATGATTTTACAGGTGACGAAGCATAAGGAGATTGGTCTGTAATTTTCAACTAGGCTGGGGTCTCCCTTTTTGAAGATGGGGATGACCGTGGCTTGTGACCATAGGTTAGGCAAGGAGCTGGTCCTGAAAGATTTTTCAAGATTATGCTTAGAGGTTCAGCTATGGCAGTGGGTAGCTTTTTTAAGAAGTAGGAAAATATTCCATCCGGTCCAATAGATAGAGATGGTTTTAGATTGCATAGTGCTTTTTCAACATTGTCTTCTGTAAAATCAATATGTCTTAGATGACTGTAGTTGTCTGTGGTTCAACTAGGAAATACTGGGCACGATCCATTGCTGTTTACAAATACTGAGCCAAAGAATGTGTTAGAGGTTCGCTTTAATAGTGTCGTCATTGCAGTCTTTACCATTAGGTCCTTTCAGGGGTGAGATGGACCTTGAGTCTTTTAGTTTGTTTACAAAATTGTAAAAAGCGCAGGTGGAATTGGTGCATAGAAGGTTTTCCTCTTGTTTAATGTGATAATTGGTGCATTCAGTCTTTATCTGGTGGCATAAATTTTTGCTTTTTCTTTTTTTTTCATTTTGCAAATAAATTATTTGCATTCTCCCAATGCAAATAATTGTAGGCAACTCACATGTTCAATTTTTTTTAGTGGGTGCGTTTATTGGATCAAAAAAAATATCCACTTTTTTTTTTTGCAGAAAATCAAGGAAAGGAAGCTGCTTCTGAAAAGAACCCTGAAAGGAAGAATGATAGCTCAACCTTCTGATTTAGGATGCAGAAAGTGGAAGACTACATAGCAACACTTGATAGTACTACTCTATATCCTAATAAATCAGACTGCAACAGGAAGATCTTTACTTTGAGATCTCTTCAGAGGCCATTTGAATGTCATAGTCACTTTGTATGGCAAGCAATTGGTACCTCCAAAGTTATTTCTTTCTATAATGCTACAAAATAAGATATGTTCTGGTAATCTGAGCCAGTTAGAGAGCCTTAAGCAGCTATTTTCTGTACAGATAAACAATTCTAAAATATGTATTTCATATTTTATTGTAAAAGGTGCATTTTGTTCACTTAGTAAATTTAAACTATTTATTTCTATCTCCTGTAAATTATTAGATGGTTTATTGTGTTCTTCATGATATATACATAAAATTCCAGACCCAGTCGATCTTTTAAGCTGTGAATATGGGAATTATAGGATATCATATACCAGACATTTCAACAGTATGAACCTCATTAAATAATTGAGCTCGATACTGGCAACAGTTCACCATATTCTGTTTTAAACAAATACTATAGAAATGTTACCATTCCTGCTATAAGTGTCACCAAGTATTGGTGATTCAGTATTTCTGAACAGGTACACTTTATTTGGCTTGCTTAGCTTTTTTTAAAAAAAGGAAAAGGTGATACAGGCTAAGACATAATATTTGTTGTATACAATTCAGATACCTCCAATACATTTGCATCATCTGTTAATAGCAATTTCTTTTTAGGTAAAAGTATATTTCTCTTGAGCTGAGGTTGACTCCTGGTGACTACATAGATGCATGCTTGCTGCTTTCCTTATAATCTTACATTTTCCATTGTCTTCTTCCAGCACTGCTTGCGAATATTATGCAATTCTATACATTTGTTTTTTAGCAAATAAAATTGAGTATTATGCATTTTGTTGTTTCCTACATTTGTCTCTGTAAGCTTGCAATGTGGCTTTGCTGATTTTATAATCTGACATTAAAAATCAATATAGCAAATATTTTCAAAATATTCTGGGATGCTAAGATTGGTATAAATACAGGAACAAATACAAAAAATATAGAAATGTAAAATATGTACTATAGAAATATATAAAACCAAAGTATTAAACCTGCCTATCCATGGAGTATGACAGGGTTCTCAAATAAACATCAGAATGCAGGTCTGTACAGGTCCTTCTCTTTACTAGACTAGCCAAGCCCAGTTCCTGTAACTGTTCTGCATATGTTTAGTCTCCAGTCCCCTAATCATCCTGGTTGCTCTTCTCTACTTTTTCTAGAGTCTCAACATCTTTTTTATAATGTGGTGAACAAAACTGGATGTAGTACTCTAGGTGTGGTCTTACTAAGGCTTTATAGAGTGCTCTTAGTACTTCCCTTGATCTTGATTGTATCCCTCTGTTAATACAACTTAGGATTGCATTAGCTTTTTTGGCTGCTGCTGCGCACTGTCAAAAGCAAAGTTCTTATTTAGAGAACAGTGATCAAATGCAGAGATTCAGCAGCACAACAATACTTGTCTCGGTAATATTACATATGAAAACCTTAGATTACTATCTGAATACAAATGGTATGAGCCAGCAGTCCGATGGAGCTGCAAAAAATACTATTGTTGTTTTAGGCTATATCCACATAATCAAAATTTTTCATTGAGGAGAATGCCACCTGATTCCAAATATATTTTTGTAAATGTATACATTGTGGGAAGATGGCCAAGTTCAACTGTGGTAGCAAAGAATCAGAAACTGGTAGCATCTTTTCCAACATACCATTTTTATTATGCATTTTATGCATCTAATAAAGTGAGCCATGCTCATACATGCGTAAGTCTTGTTAGAAAAGATACTGTACTGTATATTGTTATGTCACTGTCAGCACTACTAAGATTTTAGCCCCCTTCTGGCTTAATAAAAGGTTTTTTTTGCTTCTTGTTTTACTAAAACAATGAAACATCTACTTATTTTGTAGTGAAAGATGAAACAAAGACCCATACCCTATTTTTCATTTAATATTTTCTTAAATTATTTTATTTGTAGAATCATAGCTGATTTTGGCTTGACTGTTTTTTTTCTGAAATGCCAGACAAAAATGAAATATACATTTTAAGTAAAAATGGACTTTATTTCATTAAATGAAGACTTATGTTCTGCTCTTTCCTCAAAATGAATTCTGAAGATATATTGTGTTACATAGCAAGAATGTAGATCACAATATTAAAACCATTTACAAGCAGGATAATTTTTACTGGTACTACAAAAATATTAAAACAATTCTTTTATATAATCTTGAATATAGATGATATGTCCATTAAGAACATTTTACTTAACATTCATATATAATAGACCAATATTTACTGGCTTGCTTTTTTTCTGAAATAAGTAGTATGCATAGCTAAGCCTACACCTCTGCACAGATATGACACTAATATAAAAACTATTCTTCACAGGTAAAACTTTTTATGTTTATAGTCACCAACAACATTGCTTCACAAACATGTACAAATTCCTTAGCATTATTACAAACTTAAAAAATTATTACCAAATCAAATCAAACCAGAACCAGTTCCGTAGACAAAATAAGTAATAACAGTGTCAGTTTGTATTTAGAGACAAGCTCTAGCAAATTACAAAAAATACTGCATAACTAAAGATACAGAGAAAATTATGAGAAGTACAAGAAAGGCTTGGATTCTATGCTTTAACTCTCTGATTAGTTTGCTGAGTCATATGAAAATATTCCAAAGTAAATGTTTTAAGTTCTGGCAGCAATGTCAGATTTCTACTTTCATTTTTTTCCCCAAACTTGGCTTAATTTTTCAAGCAGTCTCTATTATTCACTTATTCAGCACACTTTCATAATGTCCTACACACAAGTACTCAAGTCTAGAAATATCAAACCCATAAAGTAAATGAAATAATATTTTGTTGACTGAGGAAAAAGAAAAGAAAAAATGAAGCAAATTATTCTTAAGTGGCTATAGATTTGTCTCTCTGAACTGAATTATGCTAACAGCAGCTGCTCCTGAAATAGCAATTGAATGTTTAACTGCTACTCTCTCTTCATTGTCACAAATTATTGTGCTTTGATGCTGCAATGATTTCTCAGTTCCAACTTCATGTTGTTGCTACTTACAAGAAATACAGAAACAAGTAACAGTGTGATTTGCACATAAGATTTACTTGTGATCCAAGCCCTTAGAACTTATATTTGCAACAAAAAATATAAATCAATCTAAGAGACTAATTTTATAATATACCAGCTTAAACCTAGAATGTGTAAGACTTTCACACTATAATATAAAAACATGGACCTAAGTTTCCTGAGTATATAAATGGGGTCTTCAAAGATAGCTGATGCAAAATAAAAATTACAATTACTAAAGGCATCTAGCATATTATTCGGGAATGAGAATTCTTGGCTTTATAGTGCTATGATTTAGATTTGCATTTGTTACTGTATTTTCCTGCTCAAAACAGAATATCATTAACTGCATATTTGATTACAGCTTTCCTCATAGTCTAGTTAAACTGAAAAACTTACAGTTAAACCATTTTGTTTTTTTAGTTTTCTTAGGGAACAAAATCTAGCAAAATAGCCGGTTTGGTCCTAGCTGTTTAGTCTAATTTTGGGGGGTATTATTTCAGTTAAAACAAAGTAACTGAGCACCATTAGATAATGTTGCCTATCTGTTAGTCTCAATAATCAAAAACAAAAACAAAAGTGTCAGTATGCTATAGTTAAATCACATAATTCCCAGTTAAACTAAACAATATAGTATAGATAAGAAACAAGGCAAATGGCTCAGTAAATAGGTGGGAATACAAACTTTAAATCTGCATTTCTATAAAATCCCTATATGAACAGAAATTCTATGAAATTCTATTTTTTAAAATACTGTTTTTCCCATGGCACATCTCCAGCATAAGACATTTTAGGCAAGACTGGTTTTTGAAAAGGCAAATGTTGAAACAGTGTTACAAGAATTTCTCCTATACAACTTTCTCTGGATCAAATACTCTACTTTTAGATTTTGATACCATTGAAATGAATGAAATGAAAAAAAAACATGAACTGCTATTTAGTGTAAGTAAAATAAAGTACAGAAATAAGATTGGTCTATTATCAAGTTAAATGATAAGGTATGTTTGTTTTTCTGAGATTGATGAGCACAATATGATTTTCTAAAAAAATCAATAGTAAAAAATACTTATCGTTTTTCCTTTTGTTAATGTAGGAGTGCACAAAAGATGTCACTTGTAGACAAATTAGTGAGGCAGATTATTTTTTTAAAAATTATTTAAAAAATATCTGAAATAGGCTTCGTCTGCTCTTGCAAATAGTTCATTTCATTTAAACAGTTCATTTGACCTACTGGTAAGTTTTGAAATAATAAATGGCCTACAGATTTGGTGTACCTGAGGTGGAACTTAAATGAATATAATTGCAATAAACGTATCTCTATTTCCAATCTCTAGATGTCTGAGCAGCTTACATTCCATCTTTAAAAAAATAAAATTAAATTCACAGTACCTAGCATCGTAAGAATACTGTTTTATACATGCCTTGTTCTGTGGTTATTAAGAATAAACAAGAGTAATACGAAGTTTGCTTGTTGTCTTCCAAGAAGCAAAACAAAGAATTTGGGCAAGCATAACATTGGTCAAGAAAAAAGCTGGTGCTTGGTACAGAATTCAGAATTCTTTGCTTTTTACCATCCCATAGGCTTCATGTAGCTTGTACACAAGCTTGTTTTTATCTTTCTCTTCCAAGAAGCAGGACTTTGCCGCATTTATATTCTGTGAAAGGAAGAAGAGGGCATTCATGATCATATTCTACTAATGTGGGCTGTACTATTTTAATTAAATGGTTGACAGTCAATGCTGCTTTTAAATGCTATACTTTTATCATTGAAAACAAAAAGAATGTATTTTTACAGAAACCTAAAATGGAGTTAACAAACATAAATCAGATGGGGTTTTAGGCAAGCACTTTTCCCATTTAAAGTTCACCCGAGGATGCTCAAATACTGAGGTAAATTTTTATATATATATATATGTTATGTCCCACCTTCTAAAATAAACAGTTAAGGCTGAAAGCAGCAGTCCTTGTAAAGAA